AGCTGACTATGCAAAGACAGGTTTTTGTACACAGACAAAAAACTACATGTAAATTTTTACTTTAAATTAGTATTTATTGGAAGATCATTGGAACACCTGTGCAGACAGAAGCAGCGTGACACTGAGGCTAAGGCACTGAATTAGGATTCAGGCACCTGGGATACATATCCAGCTTTTCTCTTTATCAGTCACTTTAACTTCTGCTTAAAACCACCAGGTAAGAGCTAGATATCAATAATATACAATCTAAAGAAAGCATCTTGCAGTGAAGTAAAAGACTCATAATACAGACTCACTTCTTGATCCTTTGGTCTGACATAGTTGGAGGGAAAGATTCCAGTCCTGTCGTCAATGCTCCCTGTCCACCACTCCCCTTCCTTCTGAGTCACTAGGATTTCCTCACCCTCCACGAAAGTCAGGTCACCAGGTTCAGCGCTCGAGTAAGAATAGAGTGCAACATACTCTGCACAGAAAACACGCACAAGGAAGGAGACAACAGGTCAGCTAGGAGGATAAAAGCACATCAGAGGCAAGTGGAAAGTGTTTTTAATATCAGCATTCATCAACGTGTTCCTAACACAGATTGTGGCTTAGTAAGCTGGCGAAACAACCTATCTGCTCAATCATAATCACCCTGCCTCATGCTTACAGCTCCGGCTTTATAGCTATTTTTTCAGACAAATCTACTTGCCATAGTTAGAGTTACTACTCTTCAACTGTCTATTTTCTGTTGCAGATCAACAGAAACCTGTATACCACAGCTAGAGAACTACCTCTTGGATGAAGCTCATCACCTCAGCTCCACATTTCACAACAACCATTTATATCATACACCTACATGTGACTAAACATATTGTTATCTGATTAATGTGGAGATGGAAAACACCACATGAAATTAAAACATAATTGTGGAAGGATGTAGAATACACTAGAGGAAAAGGTCATACCTGTTCTTCTCGGTATTTGTGTTCTCTACTCTCTACTGACTAAAAGAGAACAGCCCACGCTTAGCAAACTAACAATCTCTACAGTATAAGACAGTACCGCAAACAGCAACAGGAAAAGAAAATTTCTCATGGGTATGAGACATAGTTTAGTTTTCAGAAGTATCTCTAGTTGTTGCAATTTAATACATGAGTCTTAACACAAAAAGGCAACAACAAAACCCCCACATACCCAAGCCTATGCTACCCGAAATAGTTACAAATTTTACTTAAGTTTTTATTTTAGGATTTTCATAACACTAGCTTGATATTTTCACTGTATCTTTTGGATGAGCATTCAAATATTTGCTCAGAATTTCTTCTTATATTCAAGCTTATTCTTATGCCATTAAGCAGAAAAAATGCACCATTAAGTGACAGAATCCACGTGGCCTTACCCTCTCCAGCTGTGTAAGACTGTGCATTGGGCTTCTTGTTTACAGCTGCATAAATAGCTTCTGGTCTGCAGGAAAAAAATATATATTTGAGTAAGAAAGAAGGCTGATAAAGCAGAAATGTCTATTAGGATGAGATTAAGCTCACTTTAGTTGTCTCAAAGTTGGCATTTTCTTCGGATAAAGGCTAGCCTGGATCTCAACTAGTGATGAGTGTTATTGGTTTTAAGATGTAGGTAGAACCCAAGAGACTTCCCCTCCCCAAAGCAGTGTGTTGAAAGGCTGGGCAGCCTATGAAGAAATTATGCCATCCAAAAGAAGCACAAATGAAAAGTTTGTCCCAATTCTCTCAGTTTAGGGAATTTCAAATAATTTCTACCATAACACATGAAAAGATCAATTCACCCACAATGGTGCAGCCATTCTAGGACTAAATAGACTTTGAATAATTCCTTGAAAAGATACCTACAGCATTAAAATAGACATAACTATCTTTTCAGGGATAAAAACACACCACTATTTCTGCAAGATGTGCCTTAGGAGTTTTTATGATGCGGGATGTTAAGGCATTCTTGGTAAGTCATTCAGTATTTGGCACCCTCAGAATAAAGCAATTACCCTGCTAGAGGGTTGACACAGTAATGAGACAAGAAAAAGTTTAACAGTTGGTAAATAAGTTAAACACCACTGATTTTTCACAGCACCCAGCCTTGGAAGACCTTCTGCTTAGGCAGTAGTGAGCCCAACATTACTTACTTTGCAAAAAGGAAATAACAAAAGCCTGAAATTGCGTTTTGCTTTGGGTAAATGGTAAATGCTATTTGGGGTCGGCACTGTAAAGCATCGCACAGGTTTTGCTCTCTAGACTTCAGCTTTTTGTAAACTGTAGAATAAAATAGTAGCAAAAGTCTCACTCACTCCTCTTTCTTGAGTTCAGTCCCAGGTAAGAGCTTGACGTAAGATTTTGGGAACCAACCCCTTCCGCCATGCACCTCTCCAAACCACCAGTTTTCCTGCTGCTCCAGCACAGTAATGATATCATTTTTTGAAAAATTCAAGTGGTTTTCTTTTTTTGCAGTCCAAGAGCAAAGTGCTTGTGCTTTTAAGTTCTCTACAGGTTGTCCCTGTTAAGACAGAAGCACAGGTGCCTTATTACCACAGGTGTTAAAACCAGCTGCATCATTTCTTGCATTCCAAGACAGTTCATTCCTAAGTGTTGGCAGAATAATTTGATGCCTGGACAACATTTGCATTGCCTTGTTCATGCTGCTGATTCAGGAACAAACCCTCAACTCTTTCTTATTTGTCACAGTATCTCGTGTGTCAAGTTCCAGGGGAAACAGTAACAGAATTAGGAAAGAGACTGCAGGGTGGTGTACTCTGATCCACCAAGGCATTCTAGTGAGGGATTCAAACTAGCTTGAATTCAGACTAGTTTCTTTATTCTCTAGCCTTATGGTAGTCCAGTGCTGAAAAGGGAAAAAACAAAGTCCATATGACAAAGTGATTCTAAAATCATCAAGTTCACTCTCATTATACCTGTCCATGAATGGGGGAAACAGAGCCAGGGGAGACAGTGCGGGTAAAAGCTGATTTTTGCTGCCAGGCTGTGTTAACATTCAGGCTTGAGAAAGGTATGTTTTGGTAATCAGATTCTTCTGCTGATTTAGTTGGTGAGAGTGGTCTGCAAATTGAACAGAAGCATATTTAACAGAGGACAACTTTGATTTAAAAGTACATCAAGTAGAAACACTATTTTTATATAAATAAAACTATTACTCTATACAACGCAAACCACTGTCAAAGATTTAGAATACAATTTCAGACAGATTCTTCAGTAAATTTTCCACAATTTTACTTAAAAACAAATGCATAATGATACTATATGGTACATAATATACAAATGTTGCCTTAGAAAAGGCAGCTTAAATGTAAAAACAAAAAATGAAAATCCTTACTCTGAAGCAGCTGAGGTAGTAGATAAAGATACTGTAGGAGGAAGTAAGGCCTTCTTAGGAGATAAAGATTTTTCTCCTTCTGATATTTTTTCTACATAATTGCATGGAAACCAACCAAAATGTCCTTGGAAACTCCCATATAGCCAACCAGGCTCTCCCACGGTTTTTTCATCAACCTGTGGATAGGAGGATAAAAGCAAAACAAACCAAAACAAACAAAAAACCAATTAAGAGCATGAAGCAAATGAAGTATCTAGTGCGTAAGCACCTCTTGGCATAACCTGAGCTGCAGCCATCTCATTTCCAGTCTCTTCCCTTTGAGAATTCAGCTGGTTTTGCCCAGCTGGAGCACGTCGCTGGCAGCTCCTCTCGAGGCAACGCTCTGAGTTTGGCCAGCCAATTTTGGTGAGTTTAAGACAGGACTCCAAGCTGTTAGACCCCTTCAAATGGGCCCCAGGCAGGCTGGAGAACAGGCACAAGCCCTGGAGCCATTCTGGCTTGCCAAAAATCATGATTATATTTTGCTGAACATGCTAGGCCAGCGTGACACCACTTGGCTGCAGAACACAAAGGCTGGTGCAGCTGATACACTAAATTATTCTGCTTACAGAACTGTCATCTTCTGAAGTGAAGAGCTATAAACATATTTTTTCAGTAGTTTTATTTAGAGGAATGGAGGGTGGATGTGCTGAGCCTGCAATTAACTATATCCAAAAATGTGACCAAAAATTCAAATCAATATTAAAGTCTCTATTATGCTGTACAGATTCAAACATACAATAAAAAAGGGCTAATATTGGCAGCTCCAATGCTAAGAATTAAGTAGTTCAGCTGGGATTTGGGGTATACAAGGGTCAGGAGGCTGTTGGCATATTTTTAAAAGAGGACCTCAGAACTTAAATGGCACCAAGTTAAATATAACTGAAGGATATATAACAACACCTACTTCTCTTGCTTCCTCTTCTATGCTTCACTATCATGAAAACGCAAATACATGATTTAATACTAATATTTAAAGGTTTTTAAATTGTGTAATTTGTAAACTCATCATATGCCTGTTTCACTTACAGTACAAGTGAGAGGGGCTCTCACTTGTACTGAGTGACAAGTCACTCAGTACACATATATATTAGCTGCATATCTATTACTCTATCAGCACAGCTGTAAGTCAGTTTTCACAGGTCTACAGATTGCTTGTGCTTTCCAAAACTATTTATATGCTAACAAATGAAATAATTATATGAAATAACACAGCTTGCAACCGAGAAGCCAGAATAGGCTCCCTGCCTCGTGTTCCTGCTGTTCCATTATGGATACCATATGCACCTGAATAGACACACACGGATGCTTCACAGAATGGACTCGGAATAAAGTACTGTAGGTGTCTGAGGTGCATTTTTAAAAGACAAGGTAAGAGACTCAAAAAGATTAGGTTAAGAATACACAAGGAGACACTATTTAGATGCCTGGATGATACAGGAGAGCCTTCCACAGCTGCTGAAACCTGTTTCATCTAAACTGAAATGCCATTAATCACCTCATCTAGCCATTCATGCCAGTGTTCACTACACTCACATTTCAAGCTGTCACTTGGAGGCCTATCAGTACGTGTAAAGCAAACAAACAAACTGAAGTAACATCATTTCTGATTTACTAAGTTTAGGAAGTTTTTGTCTGGAGTTTATATTGCTGTTCTAAGCTGACTTGCAACATCTGTCAGAGGTGTAAGTCTGAAAAAAAGACTTTCGCTAAACTAATCCTTAATTTCATCCTTAAAAAAATACAGTAAGTCTAAAATATATTAACACAATATTTTAACCTCATATATCTCAGGACTGGGGGGAGCTGTCTGCTCTTTTTTGCAGGATACATACGATTGACAAATACTTACCTGAATCACATCCCCAGTATTAAAGCTCATTTCATCATGATTCCTTGCTTCAAACGGATATAAAGCTCTGTAATTTACCAAGGCAACTGAATTCCTAGACTCCGAGGCATTAACTGCATTGCCTGGAAGGAAGAAAAATATAGTTACCCTTTTGATACAGCTGGAAGGCATGCATTTAGTTGGAGGTTTATCAATCTGAGCAACAGACGACAACAATGAGACGACAACAGCTCTTGTCCTGCAGATGCTGTCGTGGGAGATAACTAGGCACAAGAGGCTGAGGGGATGGACACAACGTAAGAGTTTAATATGCTGAGCATTGCAAATATAATACAGACAATAAAGTGAAATAAAGTGAAATAAAGACAATAAAGCGAAAGGCTTCTGAAGAGGGGGAAAAAAGAAAAAAGAAAGAAAAAAAGAAAAAGAGACATTTTTATCTTCTCATCCTTTCACGTTAAATAGTTTTGGCTAAGCCATTGCTTTAGTACAGACCCTTTTAATACAATTATAATTTTCCAAGGTGGTAACACACTGATCAACAGTTAAGTGTCGGCAGCACATGTGATTATTTTAATTAGAAGCTTAAAATAGCAAATATCAGGTATTTCTAATTTCTAGGCATCTCGTGTTCTCTAATGATGTTGCTGAACAGCCAAGCGTTTATCAAGGTGTAGCTGAGATGTGAACAGATCTGCCAGTGCCACCCAAGTTGCTTCGTGCTGAATGCAGTGCTAAAGCTGGCTTTAAAAAACACTGATGAGATATAACAAACGAGGGAACTAATCAAAATGGGCTTTAATATAAATGCTGCTTTATCAGCATTTTCCAAGGTCCAACAAAGAAAGCTAGGCTGACTTCAGATCTTTTTGCTAATAAAATGCTAATATAGAAACCAAGGGGATTGTAATGAAAAACAAGTCACCACTGAGAGTTACCTGCCCAGGCAGCCATCATCTAACCAGGAAAAAAAAAAAAAAAAAAAAAACAAAACCTCTTTTTCTTTTTAGCATTTTGCCCCAGTGACACAAAGTTCAAGCCTTATTAGAAAGCTCAAATATTGCTGTTTCCAGCAGCTATGATTTATCAGCCAAGATCATAGGAAGATGTTGAAAACTGCTAAAACCTAACCAAAGTTAATAAAGCTGGTATGACTTATACCAACTAAATACATGAGTATTGCTTTCCTACTAATATTCCAGATAAGACTGCTATGTGGTCATGTTAACAATGAAACAGTTAAAACAAACAAACAAAAAAAACATTAAACCACATTCAAGAAAATAAGAACAGCTGAAACAAAATCCCAACAGACCTTCATTTTCATTAATTTACCTTCATTTTTCCATGGTGGCTTAAAAATTTTACTTTCTGTTGGTTTCAGCAGATCTGCAAACTTCTCATTGATGTTCAATTTAGAAATATGTTTCTCTGTCTCTTGAGAGTTGGTCACTTCTTTTCTCTTCTTCAGTTCTTCACTCTGCTTCTGTCTCTCCTCTGCTTCTTTTGCTATTTGTTCTTGTTTCCTTTTATCTTCTTCCAGTTGCCTCTGCCTTTGTTGCTCCGCTTCTCTCAGAATCTCAGCTTGCTTGTTTTTACTCTCCTTTTCATGAAGCTGCTGTTGATTTTCCCTTTCTCTCATCACAGCAACTGCTTCTTCAGCTTTCTGTTTTTCTTGGATTTTTTCCTGTATTCGTTCTTCCTCTAGCCGCTTCTTTTTCTCCTCCTCTTCCCTTCGGATATTTTCCTGCCATCGGTTCTCTTTCTCCCTTTTTGCTTTCCTTAAAAAGAGGAGGGAGGAGAGAAAAATATTCATGTAAAAATGCATGAGATGGTGTTCACGGGGTAAAAACTGCACTTGTGGGTCAAGCTGTGCCTATGGTGTTGGTGACTTTTCATTGTGGGCCATTCTTTGGGAGCAGACGATGCTTTGCCTAGCGTGTAGGCCAGTGTATTTCACATAAGACTAAACAGATTAAGAGTCTTCATGCAGAAACACTCTGATGTGGTTACCTGTGCAGGGCCTTTGTGGGCACTTCTGCTCACCTGCATTCTTAGGACCAAGAAGAGAGCTCTTAATTTAACAAGGATGCTTTTAAGCTTTCGCCAAGGTACTTTGCAATCATGGGATTTGGATACTAAGATATCCGAGCAGATTCAGTGACAGAATTGGTCTCTGGCAGACACATAAAGCTCATTTTTACACTCTGATCTGCTGCTTTGCTTCCTCGTCTGCAGCAGTGGTAATTTGTATTCTACATCTTTGTTCCCTTGGCTACCAAATCACCCTCTCTAGCAGAGAGAAACAATCTGGAAATCTTCCTGTATTCTATGAAATTACCCACATTTTAACCTGTGCCTCACCTTGCTTGACAAGACATTACCTAGTTCAACACACTAAAAGACACTTCATCCTGGCTAACAGGAGACTCTTCTGGTCTCACCAGCTGCCCTGGGCCTTTGGGCTACAGCTTTCTGAATTTCCATTCTGAACAGTCAGAGCAAGTTAAGAGTCATTAGAAAAGAAAATTTCAAACTAAAACCACAAAATAGAGCAACTCTTTCCTCATACTAAAAACCTGATTCAGTGAAACTAGTACAACGAAAACATTTCAGAGCTGAGGGCTCACCACGGAGCACACTCATCCACCCACTCCCTGGCACTATTTCAATCTGGGACTATTAAGCTCCACCACCAAAGTTACAGCAATGAAATAGCCGGCTGATAGTAGAAGGTCCAGAGAGGCAATATTCAAACTAAAAGCTTTGATTTCTTAATCAGTAAAACACAGTAAAAAATAAAACTAGCTGCAAATGAGACCAGAAGAAAAGAAGAAGAGAGAAATGTAAATTTTGGTGTTTGATACAAGGGTTGGCTTAGCAAAAACAGTATTGCATATGAAAGAACAAACTATCCTTTCCTAACGATGTATGTGAATTTTCTTACTGCTCTTTTAAAAAAGAAGCTAAAACTTAAAACTAAACATTTGCTCATCACCCAGCATTCAATATTCAGGCAGGAATGAAGCAGTTGGTGTCTCTCCCATTTTCTTAAGTACCAGGGGACTACACTTGCCTTAATAGGAATTTCCATTTCTAAGGAAATGATCAGATAGAAACAGATTGGAGAGAGGAAAGTTGAACCATCTTGTATCACTGGTATTCCATACTAAAAAAATACTGGATGGGTTTCTACCAATCAGACTTCTTGTTCATTACAATTAATGTCTTAAGTGACCACAGCAGTATTTTGCTTTGGAGACTGCAATCCTTGGACATGGTACCTTGCGGCCTCGTCTTCCAGACGCTTTTTCTGTGCAAGTTCAGCTCTTCTTTTTTCTACTTCTCTTATTTTATCCTGCTTGATCCTGTGGAGCTGCTCCAAGGCTAATTGCTGCGTGTTATAACTTTCTCTTAGGTCCTAATGAGGGAACACAATGAAATACATTAAAAGAAATAAAGCCTTTTTTAAATTATTAAAAGAAAAGCAACGAGGCATTTTAATGCTTTGTGAACCAAGTACTAATACAAATGGACAAAGTAATATTAAGTTATTAATAACTCTTGAAAGTCACTGTAAGGAAAGTCAAACAAACAAAAGTATGAGAATGGGTGGCAGGTTTGCAAAGCCCTTTATGTAACTCAGGCTTTCAAGGAGCCCTTCCAGTCATGCACCTGCTGGAAATGGAAAACAGAGGAAATGGGAAAACACAAAACCAAGCAGTGAAACACCATGTTCCCTAGGGAACATATCTTACATAACCAGAGCACACACCTGTTGAGGAGGCAGGTTTAATGGAAGCCAACACAATACCATAAACCTGAGGTCACACTCCTGCTTTTCTTCCTCTTCATTCACAACTGTAAGACCTAACTGAAGGGTGGTTAAGCTCAAGCAGAAGACTAAAGTAACTGAGGCAGGACTGGGATGATCACTCGCATATTAAAATTAAAAAAAAAATAGTGAAAATATTCATTAGGCTACCGCAGGGAAACACCTAAAGCCACTAACTCACACTTCATGACTTTGTTCTGTTCCTGTTGATCCTGTCCTTCAATTTTTATTCCATCCCTTTGATTACAAATATTTTCATGCAAAACATCAGGAATTTTTTGTTTAATTAAATTTACAGAAGAAAATAATACCACTACTAATTTGGAATGTACTCCTCAATGTCCCAAATGACTTGTAAGATGTTACATGCTTTTTTTTTTTTTCTTTTAGGTACTCTAGTGCTACACATCATCAATAGGTGCATCTTTACCAATAATCACGTTGCCTAAAAAATAGTCTAACTTATATGAAAAAGGCAAATTAACAAGACTTTTGTGTCAGCGCAGGTCTGTGCAACAAACTAAACCCAGCACTTTTTAAATTTCCTTTCCCCCCTCAAACATATTTGCCTCAATGCTTTTTATTTCTCATTTTGAAGACCACTATGGAAACAGACTTCATCAAAAAAAAAAAAGTGTTTTTGTTTTAAGGAAAGAACAATCCTTTTGCAGGATAGAAAGGTCAGTTAAATAATTCTGAGAATAATTTATGACAATTTATGAGATATCTAACCCCAGGAGGCAAAAATAGTGTTGAGGCAAAGCAGCCACTAAATTTGAGTGCTGGGTTAATCTGGAGGTTTAACAGCACTGCATTTGGGATGCTCTAGGTCATATCCTGAGCATTGATACGATTTTCTAGACTCTTCTGAACTCAGAACCTAATTCCTGACCTTAAGATGCATACACACAAGATGGAGCAAAGATGGAAAGGTGGAGGAAGACACTATGTCCAGAGACAAATTCCCCCTGCCTCCGATGCCATCTTAACTAAAAATATCTGGGTAAAACAAGTAAGCGAACACAGTCTATTAACATATAAGACGGCTATCAGTGTTTTGCAGTTTGTCTTTCCAGGCAAGTAACATTTGAAATTTGTAAGAGCATTTATAAGCAAGCAAAAAGAAAAAGAGCCTAGCAATTTTCTACCAGGAAAATCTATTTAACAGAGGTCACATATGCAAACTGAAAGGGTAAGCAGAGAAAAACTGTGAAATAATTAAAAGCAGAAGAGCCAAAGATTAGAAAATAACCTTAAGTAAGAGGAAGAGGTTGTTGAGACAGCTTAGCAGAGACAAAAGGCACTGAAGAACAGAATCATCCAGATTCTCACGCTGTAAGATAAGGCAGATAAAAAGCCAATTAAACCTTGCAATGTATTTTTAAAAACATGTTTTAGGGAAGACTCAATGGTGGATGCAGCCACTGAACACAGCAAAGCCATGCAAGTAAACAGGTAACTGAAAAGGCATGTAACCAATGTTACATAACGTCATCTTTTAAAGAAAAAAAAAAAAGCTATAAAAATATCTATGATTTTCCCTGCATTCTTTTTAATGAATAGTGTATGGCCCTCACACTAGCCCAACGTAAAAATCTTACTTTAGAACAATGCCACTGTGAAAAAGCTGGTAAATAAAGTTGTGGGGATACATGCAAGCCTGCCTGAAAATTGCATGCGTTTTTAGGTAAATCCAGAGTCGTCTCTGAAACACAGATGCCTTCAGGTTCAATAGCCAATGTTTATTAACTTCTACACAAACAAGTGCTTTGTATTACTTAAAAAACAACACCTGAGACTGCCACCAGCTCTTTCATGATGTACTGTGAAAGCCTGTATTTTTTTTAATTAAAAGTGAAATACTAAATTCGCAATTCAAAAGAGGAAGTCAATAGAACCTCAGTATCCTAAAGGCAGAAATCGCAAGGCGAGAAACTCTGACTCCAAATCAAACTGAGTTCTAGAGGGCACAGTTTGAGAGTGAGCAACAGTTGATTCATGCAAAGCAATGATTAGCAAAATGTTAGTATTTTAATGAATTAGCTTAAAATGCATTTTTATTGCACTATTTATTTGCTGTATGACCTTTGGTGACTCTTATTTGACATTCAAAGATGGGAAAGGCTTTTGAAAGTGCAGCTGTGTAAAAGAACAGCACAAAAACCCACCCTGTTGGAGGTAACATCAATCTTTATGACTAGACACAATATGAAGATAGTGCTTACCTGTGTGTAACACTGTATGTTTAGAAATGCACCTACCTTAAGTTGACTGTTAAATGCATCCATTTCAGAGAGTTTAGAAGCAGTTTCTTTTTCAAGGGCATCCAGCTGTTCCTTAAGTCTTTGGCATAATTCTTCCTTTTCTGAGGACTTCTTGTGTACTGAACTGATCCCTGTATCTGCAGAAAAAAAAATAAAAGGCCTTTTAATGGGATCTGCATTTTCATGAATTATGTTACTTGCTCCTAGTATACACACATTCCAAATTCAAAATATCTGTCCTCACAAAAACTCCCTGATTTACTATTCTGTTCTTTTAGAGCACAGGCAGGAATTGGACCCACTACTTAACTTGAGACACACAAATATTACAGGTAATGTATACAAAAAATAATTTGCAATTTGTTTTTATATCATTTTCGACTGATCCATAGGAAGCTTCTGGGGATTTCTAGAATGATTTAGTGTAAGTTTTATGTAAATGAAGTCTCCTGATTTTACACTATCAAAAAACACAAGGTTGCTATGCTAAGAATCATAGTATCTGCACAGTAAAGACAAAAGTGTTAATAAGGATCAAAGTATCTGCACGCTGAACAGTCTATATAAATAGAGTTTCATGCAAAACCCTGGCCTTTTCAGAAAAACATATGTTTAATCTCCAATTAAAACATGGAAGAGATAATAGAAAGTAGTTATAACAATTTTAAGTTACCCTACGCTTAAGACATAACTGGTTTGATTAATACTTCCTTGGCATAAGTTTTCTCTATGTAATTAGAAGCTGGCAATGCAAACCAAAGAGAAATCACTTGCAGACACTTACTCTGAGTGTTGTCAAGCTGAGTATTTTTAATTCTTTCACTTAACAATTTCTTCTCAGGAACTAAATAGATTAGTTTATTCTGATAGTCCTGTGGATATTGGAGAAAACATAGGTTTTTAATATTGTTAAATATCAGTAACTAAAAATGGGGTAAGTTTTCAAACATAATTTAAATAAATGTTAATTAAACATCGTTATATATTTTTGTTGTGGGGGAGAGGAAAAACGGACTTCTTTTATATCCCCAATACACATACTATTGAAAAAATTAACCTTTTCAACTCACAAACATTAACATCACTGGAAAAAACAGCTAATAGACTTTGTAAAAGTACAAACATTATCATGAGACCATTTACATTGACTGCCTCACATCTAACATGAAACAACAACATGCTATGACCCAGAAGGGTGGAAGGCAGTTAGACATTTTTAAATAATTAAATGTCTTCTTATTTGGAGGAGAAAAAATATCCCCCATAACAAAATCTTAATTCTGTCTGAGGAAAATACTAACTTAACCTGGTGTTTTTTGCTTTCCATACTCAATTTTTTTATGAGAAATATTTTTCTGTCTAGAGCCATATAAGAATTCATAACTGAAAAAAGAAGTCACTATGGTCTGTTTATAAACAGAGCTGAGGTTTTGATTGCTGTCATTATTCTACTATCAACTTGTAGTACATGTTAGCATTTCTTTAGCACTACAAAGAAAATTAAGAGCCTCTGGAATGTCGATGGCTTTGCCAATTTCCTCTCTGCACAGCAATCAAAATGATTCATTATTCCTCCCTATTGAGACTTATTAACATCATTATAGACACAGAATAGGAAACAAAGAATTACCAGCTTAAATGAAAACCACATACCTGAAGCTGCTGCTGTAGCTGCTTGACTTCCATAATTCCTTGGTCATATTTTTTATCTAAAGCCTCCAGCTCAGTTTTTCGAATTTGCTTTTTGCTTCGAATATCTTGCAATCTGTCTGAGATCTGATGATGTTTGTCTGTCTAGAAAGAAACCAAAAGAAAACTATACATGAGCAGCAATTTTTAAAACAAGCCAAAATATCTGCTTTAAATTGCTCATCCAAAGCAAAGCAAAATTCGTGACGTGTTTTAAAATATTTCACTTAAAGATAGGTAATGAAATGTATATCTTACTAGGGCTTCTAACTCAAGATTAAGGCTCTTTTTCCTAGAGGTCAACTTGACAATTTCTTCTTGTTCCCTGTTACGTTGATTTAGAAGGTCTTGGCGACGAATTCTTTCCCATTCCAATCGTCGCTGGCGCTCAAGTTCTTGCTTGGCTGCCTAGAGAGAAATGAAGTCAGTTTTAATTACAATGCAGATACAAAACAGAGACCATTATTTGATATTATATGCTTTGCTTCTAAATAGAGTAACAACAATGTAAAGAATTTTTGTTCAAGTGATTCCATATACTTCAGCATCAAAGAACAGAGGAAATGATGCTATGGGACTCCTGATGGACCTAACTCCTGGTGAAGAGTGGCATAATTCAGAGATCAGTTCAGCTTAGAATACTGCCTATAAATGAGCATATTAGTGACAGATATTACTCACAACCTCTGAGGATTTCACACAGCTACAGAGAGTAGGCAAGTCTTAGCATGCCTAAAGACACAGTAAAATCAAATCTGTCTCAGAATCAGCAGGCATAATACAACATCAACTATGAGGTTCAGTAGAATCTTGTTTAGAACAGATTTTTTTTTTGAATTCTAAAAAAAATATCCATCCAATAAAATCTCACCTGTGCTATCTGAAAACTTTAACACAGGCCTCATTCGTTTATAAGAGATATAACATTTTAAGACAGAAGTGATACTCTCCAGAACAGCTTGCCAATAACCAGGCAGAGAGAACATTCGGGATTTGAGTGTTGTATCTATTGGGCACTGCATGTTCACATTCATTAAAGCATTAAAATATAATTTCAAGAAAACAACCTCCCGCCTTTCTATTTCTTTCCTCCTTTCTTCTTCCCTTTGTCTTTCCAGCTCTCGTTGTCTCTCCAGCTGTCTTTCCAATTCAAGTTGTTTCTTCCGTTCCTGCTCCTGTCGTTCCCGCTCTCTTTGCTCCTGTTTTTCTCTTTCTTTCTGAGCTTTACGTTCTGCCTCTCTCTGCTGCTGCTCCAACAGGACCTGGCGGCGTTTTTCCAGCTCCATATTTCCCCTCTCGTAGTTTGCCTTTCTTTTGTCCTCAAATGTTACTAAAAGAAGGAAATGTAGTTCAGTTCTGTCCTGTATAAAATACTGCTCTCCAACAAGTACCTCTGCTATGCCCTTAAGGATATATATGTTCTTACTGGTGAGCTGAAGCTGTTGGATCATGGATAATGTAAACATATTTTTAGTATTATTTTGCCTTTCAAAAATGTGTTACTTTTAAATTTTCAGAAGTCTATTCCAATGGCAAAAATTTAAATATCACAATTTAAAGTTGATTGACAGAACAGCTTGAATTTTAGAGGAAACAGAAAGGAATAGCTTCTATAAACTAACAGAAGACTCTTCCTGAAAGGAAACAGGTATTCCATTATGCAAGAAACATTAATATACAGAAAAAAAGTCTCCGAAAATTCTCCTGGAGTTAAAAACAGCAGAAAGCAAAACAGAATCAAGCTCAGTTACTGCAGTGCAGGATAAAAGGAGATACACAGGAATGACCTAGGCTTTAAGTAATCCCCCTTCCGTAAGGAGAAGCAAGTCAGGGACATTTGCTGGTAGCATCTGCAATATGACAGCAGAATCTATACTGTGTATATGTTGTTTTCAGATAATTGAACAATATTGGCATCTCTTGGTTTCAGAATACTCCACATGCAGAACAAATAACATCAATAGCTTTTCCACAGCATTAAAATACTTGGCCACAAAAGATTTCTTTTCCAAAAATACATTATTAATGGTACCGGGAACAGCACACTTCTTTTCCAAATATAGTCCCTATCTCTGCTTTCTCAATTTTATTAGCTGCACCTGTCTGACCGTATCTGCTCAACAACCTTTCTTCCATCCAGGATGGACAGCATCTGGCTCCTGAAATGAAGCCCCTTTGGGATTTCATTATGTCTTCTACTTTCTAAATATCTCAGTACCCTTTGAAGGCATGCCTATACATTAAGAATGAGACCACAAAGCACATTTCACCTGGCTGTTTTTTCTGAGGCTCCTCCTCTTGCACAGGCTGGTAAGATGGCAGAGTTCCATTTATATTTTCAGTGTATTTTCCACTTCTGGAAAAGGAAAAAAGAAAAAAAGAAGTGGGAGAGAGAGAAATCAATTATTGTATTTGTAGAAAACATTTCCATTGAAAATGTATAATGTTGCACTGTCCTCAGTGCTTTACCTGAAAGAAGGTGGCACCAGTTCAAGAGGCAAGGTTAGTGGCAGAGGCTGTCCAGCTTTGGCCATATCAGTGAGGTGCATGGCTAACACAAACTCATCAGCTTTCAGCTGTCCATCACCATCAATATCAGCCAGGGACCTGCCCAGTTGTAATAACAATTCTAATTACAACTAAACAAAAACTCTAAACTCTAATTACAACTAACATCACAAGCACAACTGGTAGTTGAAATAACTTATTGTAAAATATTTTTTCAACTGAGAATTCCTGTGAAATGATGTGTAAAAATAATTACAATTACTAAAATGAGCAGTGGATAAAGAGAGACACTATTCTATTTAATAATGTGTTGTTTAAAAAAAGCTTTCAGAGAATATAGAAAAAAAAATAAAGAACAAAAGGTAAGTGAGGATTTGAAAGGTGAAGTGACATCTATCATTTGTTGCATAACCAATGTTGGAGCTGGGAACAGAATCCAAATCTGTTCTTAAACAGCTCTACATGACAGAACCCATTTTTTTAAACTAATTTCTGCCTCAAAGAAAAGAAAAAAAAAAAGAAAAAAAAACAGAAAAAAAAAGAGTATTATATAAAATTACATGCAATTTGCAGAGCTGGAATCTTTGTATAAAATTGTGCCTTCTTGGCAGTGCAGCTGTCAGTGCTGCAGGGAAGATGTGAAATACTGCATTTCCCTGCAAAAGGCAAAAAAAGGATCACCTGCTCTCTCTAACAAGAAGGCAGAACACACAGTCACAACATTAGCCTACTTGTACTTAAAATGCTTGCCACACAGGCGAAAAAGAATGAAATGCTTCCAGAGATGCAGGAAAGAAAACAGGAACCTCTCTCAAAGAATAGTGTATGTACAAATAACTGCAGCTCTGTGGCCTTCAACTGGATGTAGTTGAATTTTTTAATGAAAGCAATTGCTCATACCATTCTTTTTTTTTTTTTTAAACCATGCGCAATTGGCCAAAAATATTAAGCAAAAAAATTAAATCCAGAGAAAAAGAAAAGCATGAGATGATAAAATGAGATTTTTATTAGGCCGACAGACCAAAACTACCAACATATAACATTACTATTATACAGGCACTCCTATGAACACCTGATACCAGTACAAATACCAGTATTTCTTTGCTTGGGACAAAACTGTGACAGCCTGTTAATCCTCTGAATTGGTTCATGGGCCTGTACTGGACAGGCTGGTGTCCTGCTGCTGTGGAGTCTCCATCTCTGGAGATCTTCCAAACCTGTCTGGATGCCACCCTGTGCCACATGCTCTGGGCACAGGGACTAGAGGATCTCTAGAGGTCCCTTCCAATCTCAGTCATTCAGGGATTCTGTGACCTCCTTGCATTGGCTAATGACATCTTCAGTCAAGGCATGTTAGTAAGAATCATCTAGGAGGAAAACAGCCACTTTGTACCCGCTTTATTCATCTATTCCAGGTGATGAACACAGGCTGATACTCCCTTTTGGCCCTCACAGCATGCAGCCAAATCAGATAAACTAATAATCCCAGTAAAGGCAAGTCTTAACATATGTGTAATATGTGAGTATCTACAGAAACTACAGGAAACAAAAATTTGAGGAGCCACTACTTTTACTCTCATTATATATTAAAACTAACAAACATGGACTACTGTTTCTTTCAGTACTTTACTTCTGAAATAAACTCACCTTCAGCTGAACTTAAACAGCTCACTACTAAAATTGAGGTCAGTATCTGTGTCATTATATAGAGCGTAACAGAAGGCAAAAACACTGATCTTACTAAGCAGAGTAGTCTGCAGAAAATTTACTAATTAACAAAGAAGTTAATAAGTAGCTGAGCTTCAGTTTAGGATTTTAGATCTATGGTGTCTCCTCCATTCAAACTCTTGTTGAATAAGGTACCTTTCCTCCCTAACGTCACAAGTGCCATCACTTTGCCATCAGTGACCAAACTTACCAAATAGTAGCCAACTGAGTCTGTGAAAGGTTTGATTGCAGAAGGGCATTCCTTGCCTGAAATCCTTAGTGAACAAATTATAATATTATTCAAAAAGCAGTACTTTGAACAAAGATTCTCATGCAGCAAAAAAGGTCATGAACAATTATTTTTTAAAATATTAATCTAATTTACTTTCACTAATGACTAACAGTATTATTTACAGGCTTAACAACAGGTACCGATTCAATCAATAAAGATTTTAATATTCTGGGTGTTTTTTTTTTCACTCAAAGTTCAGAACAGAAAAACTGACACTGTACCAGCCATACTCTGCCTTGAGTTTGAGCTGGTAAAATGGAAAGCTGTCAACTTTTATCAGTTGAAATCCCCAGCCCCCAAATTAGCTGAATAAGATAAAAACCAGTAAGAGTCTCTTTCGAAAGAGAGAAGTGTCCTCTCCTCTACAGACTAGAAAACTAAGGCAGAGGCTTGGAAAAAAGAGGCTTGGTAAGTCCTCAAGATGAGAATTCTGGACTGCTACACAGATGCAGAGTGACTTTATGCCAAACTCTCTCCTACTAAGACCCAAATATTTCATCAGCTTTCAGGTTACATGCAAGTAAAGCTTCCATAATTTCAGCAAGCCAGGATTCCACCCCAAGTCTTCTAGGTTCCCGAGGCAGAAAACTCTGCTGTTTCCCGGCTCCAGATCAAGAGCCATACTCACCTGACAAATATCCACTCATACTTTTATCAAGACTATTAAATTTCTGCCTGTATTTTAATCTGGAGGCCTGAGGAACTGCCCAGTCTGAGGATACAATCTTTGGTGAATTCCCAGTTAGTGAAGCACTAGAGGAAGAATTGGAACTGCAATATAATAATAATAAAGAAAGAAATTACATAATAAACACACACTAAGATGCAGCATCTTCTGGAAACATGAAAAACGCTTTCACAAAACTTTAGCTCTGCTAACTTACTATAAATATTTTTGACATTAATATGAAATATTACTGTGAAATTAGGAATAAAAAGAAATTCTTGGCTTAAAGACTCTATACCCTTGGTATCACAGGCATTTGTCATGTATTTCACTCACGGATCACTGCAACATAGTATTACAGGAAAGCATCTTAGCTTTCACAAGAATGTTTAAAAGAACTGTGAAGCATGAGAGAGATATATAAAGTAAAACACAAAGAAGAATATAAATGAATAAAAAAAAAAGTTAAACCATGAATAAAAAAAAATCTGATAAATTTGCAGCCAAAAGCTGCTTCTAAAGTTGCTAAAAACCACTATTTCATCTCTCTGACTTTCTATTACAGGCTAATTCATTCTGGTTCTGCAGAATATAAAGTTGCTAAAAAACACTATTTCATCTCTCTCTTTGACTTTCTATTAGTGACAATTAAAGGCTAATTCATTCTGGTTCTGCAGAATAGTGATGATCGCCTGCATGGTTATGCCTATATGCCCAATTAAAAACAATAATTAAAAAGAGAGAAAAGATATTATACCCCAAATCAGCCTATTAACATCAGGTGTCTGTATGAGGAGTCCAAATCTAGATGTATATTCATCCAAGATGCCTTGTATAAGCAGCAGAGAACCCTCTCAATTGCCTTTTGGAAGATTTTTCCTCAAATACCCAATTAAGTAGATAAGTCACTTTGTCAATAATTAAGCTGTAAAAATCAATTAAATGATAGAGATTTACACTTTTCCATTATTCATAAAATGAATTCATAAATAACTAAAACTCTTCCTACATGCTTGCTAATTATGTGGTGTGATTTATAAGGAATGCGTGCATCAGCTTATAAACATTGCTTCTGTACCCACTTGCTGAGTTTTACTTCTATTTACTCTGCTGTATACTCCCTCATTTTTGACATAAATTCTTCTTTGGACTCCTCACCTACTTGAAACAGTTTTGTTAAATTTACCAAAAATAGTATTCATTATGATTTAAGACTTTTCTTTAAAAAAAAAAAAAAACTTAAAAATATAAACAAACATACAACAATTTTTAAAAGGCACACTACTCAAGTTTAAGATAAAATTATTTAAAGCTTAATTGCCATACCTGCTAGATCCTAAATCAATCAGTGATTGTGCCTTCTGTATATTAGTGCCACCAAGCCCTCCTGCCATGGGAGCAAAAGAACCTGTATGGGGCAGTGCTGAAAGGAACAAGCGACAAGAAACACAACAAAAAGTTAAAAAACAAACTTGTATAAGGTAATGCTTTGTAATTACTGAGTAAGGTTTGAGTTAAAGTAAGAAAAGCTAATGAGATATTCTAAGATTGACTAGTTATAACTGATTCTATGAAGGTAAACATAGATAAAATACATTAAAAAAAAAATCTTACGCGATGACTAGTATTTCAGCATGCAATTAATCAGAAAAAGTCAGATTCATATTTCTGAAACTGAGTACTGGACTATATTAAACTCACTTGAGGAGAAAGGTATGGACAAAGGCTGGAGGAGGCTGGATGTCCCATTTGGCAACGACGAGGTACTGACAGAAGGCACCAGGGGAGCAGAGAGAGCCAGCGGCGGAACGGAGGGCACCGAGGTCAGGGAGGACATGGGAGCTAACGGTGCCATCGCAGACATGGACGTTGGCATGGACAGATTTGGCATGCTACCCATTCCTAGAGCAAATCCAAACAATTCAGCATTTAATACCATGGAGGCTCCATTTTTCTAGACAGAAACTACACAAAGCAACTTGCATCAAGAAAGGCAGCAAGCTACAATGTATGCTCATGTAGAAAGTTTACTTCGTCTCTAAAGTTCAGACAACACAGTTCACAGAAAATGCACAAAGGACTGAAAAATACTGTATTATTAAATTTCTACAACGGATGAAATTATCAGAAGTGTGGAGAGTTCATTCAATATCAAGAAAGAGGTTTTGGAAAGTTTCTAAATCAGAATATCTTTGTTTCTTTACTGATCCATGCAATAACTGAGATTAATGCTTAATTTGACTGATTTCAGATGAATCTGGGGATTTTCATCTGTGAATATTTTTATGTTCATATGTACCAAAGCGAGCAGACATTAATGGTGAAAATACTGGAGCTTGTTTCATGACAGGAGGGAGAACCACAGGCAAGTGTTGTCCTTGTAACTTCAGCTTGATGAGCTTCATGGCTATAGAAAACTCCTGTTGATCCATTTTTCCATCCTTGTTCAGGTCTGATAGGGCCCTTAAAGAGAAAGGAACAGAACCCCACATGAAAAAAATTTGAATTCTTTTTTTTCATTTAATAATAAGCTTTTCTATCATTTTTATGTGTCTTTTTTATATATAAAAATCAAACAACAAATATTACAACTATTTGATTCTGAAATATGGTCATTCAGAAAACTTCTGAAGACACACTGTGCTGCTATGAAAAACTGCATAGAAATTAGGTTTTTAAGCCTGACATATATACCCTCTTCCTTTGGCATTTTTCCAAATAAACTTCAAATAAAATCAGGAAATATATGAAACAGTGCATACACCAGCAAATTGACAAAACTGCTGATAAACGAGACACGAAATCTGATATCTTATTAACACTTAAGCAGACCGGCTGTAAGGATGTGAATAAAAATCACAAGAAAATGGTCAGAGACTTAATATTTAGCTGTATTTTCCCCTTTATTGCTTCATTCTCTTACTGTTCATTAAAATATAAACTAAGGCACTATACAAACATTTCACAATCATTCTTTTTAGCCATGTTAAATATTTAGAGAAGAAATTAAGTTTATATTTTATCAAAACATGTATTTTCTTAAATATTCCTTCACAAGTAAATTCCTCTTACTCCTTAATTATTAAGGGCCTTCATGCCCAGTTTCTATTAACGTGTGCACACCCTGATAATAATGAAGTACCCTGAAATGAATACAACGTTCTGGTGAAGTCTGAGGAGTTATGAAAGAAGAAAATCTCTGTTTCAGATGTTACAACCTCTACATATAATGCTGCAAAGAACAGCATTTTTTTCCAGTTCCTGTACTATGGTACTGGGCTGATATAGAACAGTCTATTACAACTGATCTTCTGCTAACATAATATATTGTTTTCCAATTTCTCCTTTTTTTTTTTCCTTTTTAAAAATATTTTCGTATATTTTCCACTCTCCTTTTAGCAGCATATAACTCTTCTGAAACTTAATTTTATTACAGCTTTTTAGTATTATTAGTTTTTTTGAATAACATTCAATTTGGTACCTCCAGAAATTAACTAACCCATCATTTATCTCTTTTACATGTTATTATTTAAAATACTGAGGCAAGACTTAACAACCACCTATGTGGCACTTTAACAGGCACTTCCCTCTAAGAATGCCCTGGAGTTTGTTATTACCTTTTGCAAAAAGCATTTACTGTAGTTTTAAAGACAGCGTTCAAGAAGATCCAATTTAAATTAACTTTGTTCCAGCACTGACCTAAAAAGGAGTATCTTTCTAAATTCTTATTATAAGTGTGGGTTCAATTCTTCTTCTGTATTCAGCAAAATTCAGTAAAATTCAAATACAGATTCAGACAGCATTCCTATTTTGCTCAAAGCATCTTTTATATTATATTACATACTGAAGAGAACACTTTCATGTTACACATCTCCTATCTTAAAAAATGCAAAAGAACGACTTACCATATTTCAGCTAGCACTGAAGCTGGTAGACCTGACTGTAAGAAAAAGGTACGTGCTTGATCACCTATGATAAACAAGAAAAAAAAGAATGAAGAAAGACTCTTACGCTAAACCCACGAATATTTACTAATGTCAGAATTTTCCGAAGACTCCAGTACTCTTGGGGAACCCGACCTTAGCAGGGGAGCAGCAGTTAAGCTTTCTGGAGTTGAGCATCACAGAACTTTGTGGTGACAGCAGATATCAGGTTCTGATGCAATCTCTAATTGTAATGTTTTGCTCTGAGAATACGTAGCGCCAAATAGTTTTAAGCCACAAATCAACAGCTGCCAAGACTTTTATAGATGCAAGATTAAAATAAACAAACAAACAAACAAAAAAAAACATATAACGTAAAAGACTGAAAATTTAATTCTGATCTAACTCCTTTTCCAGGAAAGGATGTGCATGCTATTTCTTTCTCTCATCTAATCTGACTTGGCCCAGTACTGCCTCTTTAGAAAACCTTGGAAAAAATAACATGTCCCAAATAACATGCAGATCCCAAGAAATATTCAATAGTTCAACATTTCTGAGAGGGAATGGGAGCTTTGAGCAAACCATACTCAGGTTCCTCATCAATCATTACTGATTGTATTGTTAGAGAGACATACAATAAAACATGGATAATGCTGTTTTTGCCTACCCAACAGTGGATTATGTATGTGTAGAACTAAGATTTCAGATTATTCTTCCTGCATCTTTTCCCCTTAATACAGAGCCTAACATTTTAAGTGCTTTTCAAATGAACAACAAAAAAAAAGGACTGAGAAAAGAGTGGGAAGGCTTTGTGGTCCACAAAGGGCAGAAAACAGAAGCACTGGAGTCAGCAGCAGGACAGAAGGGTGTGGAAATGAGGCAAGTCCAAGGGCTCAGGGCTAGTCTTCGGTGCCTATCCAATCATAAGGAGCAGGGACATCTATTAAGCCATCCTTGTACACTGAACTTGAGATTTCTCCTGATTATTTGTTTTTAAAGCTGAAATTTTTAAAGAGCAAACCAGCATGACCCAGCTGTTTTAGAGAAGAAAAACCAGAATGCAACTGCAATTGATGGCTGGCAATTGCAACACACCATCAGCCTACCCAGAAGTTGTGGATGACACGAGGGTTAATAAATGTCCAGTGGTCATTAAGGAGAACAAGCTGTCATGATCTCTTCCTGGGCAACAAAGCTCTCTAAGAGCACAGTGCTCTCTAAGGCTGTTCAGTCAAGAGAGTCACTTCTTGTGTCCCTGCCCTCTCTTGCTACAATAGCTGCTGTAAGTGCTCCTTGGCAGCCTCCCATCAGAGCACAGATTTAGCCTGATATTCCTCGGGTCTGAAACTAGCCAGAGTGACAGCACTAAACTGCTGGCTGCAGAGGTGGCTGCATTAATAAAAGAGAACTTCTAGGCCAGATTTTGGTCTTAAGCTTGCAGAAGTTTAACAGTAGGAACCTGTGGCTTTATGCCCTGAGTAATGTGGCCAGCCTGGTCACATAACGAAAGGCTGGAAAAGGATATTGCTTTCGAAGTGTTTTACAAAGTCACTTTGCATGTACACATAAGTCAATGTATAACACAGAGTCCCAGACCAACCTGTAATGTGGCCTCCTGTGGGTTTCAGGCTATCAAACTGCTTGTCGTGCTTTGCCCGCTCTTAAAACAGAGATGGAAGATGTTTAAAAACAAAGCACGTCACTCGTGAAACCACAGCTTAGTTTTTCAAGAGACAGGATCAGCCTTGGGCACATCCAGCTCCTACCAGTTCGACGAGGATATGATGAAACCCAGCCTGGCTTCCGCGACGTGCAAGCGGTAGCCAGGCCCATTGCCCAGCCCGGTGGCTCTATCCTGGGCTTTCAAACAAGCCTTTCCAAGTTGCTTTCCAGCTGATTCCGGGCAGGAAGCACGTTGCTCCCGCTGCTCTGTGTGATCCCACTGAACAGCCGTGCTGTGATGGCCCTGAAAGGTCCTCGGAGGGACGGCGAGGGTACCGTGGATGCCATGCACCGGCCCGCGCCCCAAAATTGAGACTGAGATTCCTAGCAAAAACTCAACGCGGCAACATTCTGCATTTTCCAAGTAGGATATGACTTCCACTAACTATATGTAGAATATTATGGCCTCAAAGTAACAAAGCTAAATTGCAAGGAATAAAGATGTTTACCGAGCAGTGTTGATAGACCAGAAAGAACCAGAAATGACTTTCAAATATATCCAAACCTACTGTAAAGGCATCTGGGTACATGCCCTTTGCAGGGGGGCAATTTGCTATTCTCCACTTGCATTTTAAGAAGCTGTTTTAGCTGGGAAGCTTTTGAGAAAATCCAAGTTTCCAATCAATGAATTAGTCAACATTCTGAATAAAAAACCCCACAGCAACACTGAAGTTATTAAAAAAAAAAAAAAACCCTACTAATACATTATTTTCAGCATTACTACTTTCAAAGAACTCTTAAGCTGCTCTCCAATATTCCTACTGGTCGCTAAAAGCACCAGTAAAATAAATAAATTAATTCTGATAAGACATTAATAATCTGCTTTCAAACACACAACATTTGGAAAGAACATTACAAGAAAGTGCTGCTGCTTCGCACAGAAACCTAATTCCAGAGCTGAGAGAACTAATGATATCTTCTTTAAGAGCTGCTTTCATCCTTTTTTTTCTTTTTTTTCCCCCAACCAAATCCTTTCCCACAACAAGGTTAGCAACTGTCAAGCAAACATACAGCCCAGGGCATACACATCACCACTGTGACCCACCTCTCTATTCAGGCACATATGCAAACACACTTTCCAAAAAGACCTAACGCCGCCTCTTAACAAGAGCCTGTTAAGCCTGTCACCCTCCTTGCATATTCACACATGGAAATCCTCATTAATATGTAAAGACATTCAGTTTACGACAAGAAAAGAAGCAAAAAAGAAACCACAGCATGAGAGTCATGAATATGAATTATAGAAGAGACTGGGAGCACATTAGGATGTAATTTTTAAGCACTTGACTTCAAAGTTTTGCTTCCATCTTCAGCTCCATAGAAGAAAGGCTGCTTAGGGCACTTGATGATGCTCCACTTGGGAAGGAAGGAGGATGAGGATGGGATAGAAAACACGGCATCGGGTCTGTCACTTCTGGCTGCTTTTCTGTCTACTGTCCCACCACCACTGCAGCCAGACACCTCGTTCCCAGAGCAAACCTGCCCTTCGAAACAGATTCCTGAGGAATTTTTCACTATTTTTCCAAGAACGGACAGGGTTTGTGGGAAGAGCAGGGAAGGAGAGGGAGAGAATCACAAAACACCATGTTGGACTGAGGACCTCCACCTGGCTGGTGCCTCCATGAAGTAGCCTGAGCCCTGATGAGATGCTCATTCTACTTCCAAGAAGGTGGCAAGCAGCTCCAGGTACCTGCCTCAAGGATCTATTCTTTTTTCCTTTTTCAGTATAGCCTCAATTAAAGAGTCTTTTTGCACTTTGGAAGACAGGGGCTTACTTCTTTCTTCTGATTAAAGGAGTCTAAATATAAATATATGATATAAATAAGTCGCAAAGGCAGGTGGAACATGGCAATCAAATCTGAAACTCTCCTCACTTCATATTCCAGCACAAATTCAGCCAAACATTCCTTTGAATACAGTCTGGTAAAGGAGCTCTGCTGCTGTTTTACGTGGTATTGATTTAAATGCATCTAGACTAGGCACTTTAAAGAGACACCAGATCTTCACACCTGCAGCTGTAGGACACAACAGTCTCTGAGCATCTTCAACATCTCATTCGAGAAGTGTTTCCATAGTTGTGTCCTCCTCTTCACTCGTGTTTATGTCCTCCTCCAGAGAGGCAGGGCTAAGCCTCTCCAAGGAGCTACTATCATGCCAAAGCTCTAACTCTGGCACATGTATTATCACAAGTACCTCTCATAGGTGCTTCAGGAAGCTCACTGAACACATACCCTGAGAAGATGAACCTGCAAATAATTTCTTTGCAAAGGTAAGAAAAAAATTCAGATTTTTCCTTTTTCCAAGACAGGGACCAAAATTGTTTTTTCTGATGCCTGAGTAATTCCAGATAGATATGCTCTCATCTATCAGGGCTTTTGTAGAGCTAGAAGAAAATGAGGTAATGTAATAGACCTTAAAATACCAAAGCAACTCCCACATCACTCAGCTGTTCCACTTCAAAGTAAAAATACAAAAATACATATACTTTATGAATACACATAAAAAGAAACCATTCATTTCAGACAATTTTAGCAACATTGACCTACAAGCATCCAGTAATAATTCAAAATTTAAGATGCTTAAAAGGAATTATCACAGCAGGGAGTTTCTTAATTCAGAAGGTCAAAGAGAAAACATTTACTGAATTCCAACTGGAAATGAGAAAAGCACTGGAAAAAGAAACAGTATCCAACCAAAGTCCTTACAAAGCTGTGATTCCTTACAAGTGGCTAAGCCTGAAAAGCAATTTTTTCTTCA